ATTAGAATTACCAGAAACCTCCATAGCTCACAAACATCACAGCTACCAGACTCCGTTTATCAGAAGTCTTAGGGCCAAGTCCCACTCACACTGAAAACTGTGTGATATCATGGGCTTCCTGATGTCATGGGTTTCAGAGTGGACAGCAGCTCACAAAGTGCTGTAGAGATACCAGAACCTCATTTTGAGAGGGTAGCTTACCCTGAATCTCTGTCACTTCTTTTTCCAGCAAAATGATAAATCGCAGTGAAGCTTTCACCCTTTTTCATTAGATTTTATTCAATTATTTTCATTAGATTTTATTCAATTATTTTCTGCATCTACTATGTATTCACCTACATTTCTGATTTGTGGACTGTGAGATGGAAGATGAGTCACTTTCTTCACTGAAAGTCAGTTCAGCCCCATCGAAGAAGCCATAATCCTTCCTCCAACACTTCCTGCCACCCTCCTCCTCCACCACCCCAGTACACACCCAAAAAGTAAAAAAATAAGCACTTGTCCCATCACTCGGATAATCCCTGGGTGTATTAGTAAATGTTCTTTGAGCCACTTTATATCTACATATGCTAGATATGGAGAAAGATAGATTCTGTGTATATATGTTTACACATACCAAAAAGTGGTATAGTTTATATGTAATGAAATGTTTACTATATACATACGAACTTTCCCTATGGTGGTTAATATTTTACAATATAATTTTTAATGGTATCATCAAAGAGCTAACTAGTCCTGTCTCTGTATCAGCATTTCTTTTCAGGCTTCTGAAACACCATTGTTTTTATTTAGAACCACTAACAAATGTTTCAGTCTTTTATTGTTGAAACAACTTTATAAAATTATTGTTAATTTCATTGGTTATGATAATGGCATTATGGTTATGTTTAAAAGGAAAAAAGATAAATACTGACAAATTAAATGACAAGATGTTTGGGTCTTAAAAATACTCCTGGAATAAATAAAAGTAGAGATTGCGGGGGATATAGCTAAACAAGATTGGCAAAATATTGACTGTTATTGAATCTCGGTTAAGGGTACACTGGAATTCATAATACTATTCTGTTTTATGCCTGAAGTTTTCTGTTATTATTTTTTGAAACCAGCCTTTCTCTTGAAACAGTGAAGTCAGCTAACTCCTTCTTGCCTCATGTTCACGTCATCCTTTGACTACTGCCCAAATGAGCTACACTGTCATCTCCATAATGCTTAGGGGTTTCTTTTCCTGGGCCCATCCTGTTACTGTTTTTTTCCAGAGTACCTCTGAAACTAAAGTAAATCTCACCTTTTCCCAGAACACTCCTTTTACTTTCATGTCCTCCCACACCTCATTGTCCTGATCTCTCATACATATGTGACTTTGGTATGTGGTTTATAGCCTTCTGTGCTATTTCATGTCTCATTTCATTCTGAGTGACATCAGTGTGCCTGAAAGAGTACAAGCTCAGTAAGTATTTGTTGAATCAATCAATGTCCACGTGGGTGAATCATCCAGCAAACCTTCTGCTTTTTATCTGGAGCCCTGGGGTGTTGGCAGGCAGGAATCCCCATGCCTGTGGATAATGCAGCATCTGCAGCCTGTGCTTTTCCTCTTCCACTGGTGAATCTAACCCTTCCCTTTTTAATTCTTGTTCCAAAAATCCTCCTTTAAGAAGTGCCTGCCAACTGCTCCCCACCCACAGCCTTCTGTCCATAATTTTCACATCCAGCACTTAGCTCCTATCCATCCTAACTTTGTCAGGGATACCATTTCTTTCTGCCTCCTTTACTACTGCTTTCACATTCTTTTCAAATATTCAGTCTCTCCTTTTCTAGTGATTCTTTTCATGACTGCTTTAAACAAGAGTAGTAGGTCTCTTGTTTAGTAACATCTTCATCAAATCCACATGCTTCTTTAGCCACCAAACTAATTCTCTCCCAATATGGCCAGATGTCGATCCCTTCGGACTACTACCTATTTTATCCATTCTCTAAGTTACCAGCCACTTATTCCATAACCCCTTAAATTTGGCCTGTCCCTTTGAAACTCAACTAAATCTGCACATTGAGAAAGGAAAATTAAAACTACGCTGAGATGTCATTTTTGCCAATCAGACTGGCAAAAATTTCCAGGTATGACAACATAGTCCTTGTTATGGCTGTGGAGAAATAGTCTCATATACTGCTGATGGGGGAGAATCCCCATGAAAGGGAATTTGGCAATACATGACAACTGCATATGTTTGTACATATTTAAAATGACATTTATATAAGGCAATTCATCGAATAGTTAGTAATAGCAAAAAATGATAATCTAAATGGAATTGGTTAAATAATGAGCATCTATACAATGAAATACTATGCAGCTTGTGATGATTAATTTTTTGTGTCAACTTGGCTTGACTGTGGTGCCAACTCATTTTGTCAAACACTAGATGTTTCTGTGAAGGTTGTTTTGTAGATGTGGTCATTTAGTAAAGTTGATCACCCTCCATAATGTGGGTAGGCCTTTTCAATCAGTTATAGGCCTTAAAAGTAAAAACAGGTTTCCTAGAGCACAAGGAATTCTGCCCTAAGACTGTAACATAGAAATTTTGCCTGAATGTCTAGCCTGCTGCCCTTCTAGGGATTTTGGACTCAAGACTGCAACATCAACTCTTACCTGAATTTCCAAGCTGCTTGCCTGCCCTACAGATTTTGTATTTGTCAGCCCCCACAATTGCATGAGCCAATTCTTTAAAATAAATCTGTCTCTTTAGCTATAATTATTTTTTTCTGTAGAACTCTGCATGATACATAGCTATAAAAAAGAATGAAAACACTCTCTACATGTAAAGATCTCCAGAATATATTTGTGTGTGAACAAAAGCCAGGTGCATAATACTCTATGTGCTATATGCTACACTAAACAGGAATTGAAACAAGAATATGTCTTTATATTCGCCTATATCTGCACTAAAACTCTGTAAGGGTACACAAATTAATTAAAAGTTTCTACTTGAGAGGGGGTTCTAGCCAGATGGAGGACAGAAGGGTGAAAAGTTATTGTATTTTTTTTAAATACTTTTGTGATTTTTGAACTATGTGACTGTTTTTATCTATTCAAAAACAAATTTTCTGAGGACTCCACTAACCCCTAATTGCTGATTTTACTCTTACTGGTACAAATTGTAACTCAGTAGCATGCTCTACCACACACCAATCTTTCTTCAGAGTTTGCTCATCTAGCTTCTCAGAGTTTTATCCCTCCTACTTCTCTGACTTGCCTTATCTTCTTTTCTGTTTCTTGGATACAGACATGCTCCAAAATTCTGTCTTTAACATCTGGTTCTCTAGTCTCTTTCTGCTGCAGCTTAAACCATTATCTCTGTGTTCCAAGTCTGCACATCGACACAGCCTTCCTCATGAGCTCAAATCCCATATTTCCAAATACTTCCTTTCTGATGGCACCACAAATGACTATGTCCAAAAAGGAGCGCCTCATCTTCAACCCAATTTTTTACACTGGCTACCATGTTCAGTGATATTTCATATTGAAGTCACTAGTGACTAGTTTTTTAGAGTGTAGTACATAGATCAGCAGCATCACCTATGAACTTGTTAGAAATGCTGAATCTTAGACCTTTCCCTAGACCTCCTGAATCAGTAACAGATCCCCAGAGATTCACAATTTCTTTAAAGTTCGGGAAATACCACCCTAGATTGTTTCTTAGCAAGTTTATGATTCATGTTTACGAGATTTGGAGTACTAATCTTATACTGAAGTTTTGGTTACTGAGTATAATCATTTTTGCATAATAGATTAGAAGATGGGAATACCCATGATCTTACTTCCCCAAATTATGATTTCCTCAAATCAAACATTTCTTTATATGCTAGTAATATGAAACTGGCCCACCTGAAATCTTATGAATCTTCAAAAATATTAGAAATGTATCCAGTATTTTTACTCTTGTCATTGCCTGTTTTTTTTCTTACTTTACCCATCTGTAACTTCATAGTTAAGTAACCACATTTTTTTGTAAAATGGATGAATTTTTTCAACAAATTGGTCATTCACTGATTTTTGTCTAACTGATTTATGACAAATTGATTTTTAATGAATTAACTCTGTTGAAAAGTGGTGAGAAGTGGCTCAAGCACCCAAAATAATAAGTTTTAGGGAGTCAAACAATATCCATTTTGTAATCCTGGAGCTGTCTGATATATGGAAATGTTAAAAACCTCAAGTTTCATTGATGGTAAGAAGTAGTGCTCAGATTTGATCTGAGAATCTAAATGTAATGCTACTTTCTGTCTATTACTCCATGATCACTATAGTACAGATGTCTGTTAAATAAACACTGATCATTTTCTATTTTTTATTAATTGAGGGGACATTGGTAGTCCTCTGGTACACAGATATGATGAAGTTTGCCTTGATGATGATAATGTGATTAATATTTTCAAAAGCCTTTGACAAGGGACTTTATCAAAGGTTATTATTTTTTTTTAAGTCTCATTTTATGTGTGTGGGGAAACTTTTTCACAAGGGAAGTGTCATGGAGATATAATACAGAGTATGTAAAAGTTCCAAACTATAATGGAGATTTAAAGAGGTCCATGGGTATGTATTCTTGTCACTAAAAGAAATACAGTTGGCTGACCACTCACAGGGCAGTGTTGTTACTTTTGGCGACTTACTGATAGGTATTGTGATAAGGTGGAAAAACATAGACTTTGAAACAAGCCAGAACCAGAATTTGAATGCTGACTGCAATACTTTCTATGTGATTGACAGGAAAGTTATTAACCATTTAAATTTAATCTCCTGTAAAAATAGGTATAGCAACACAGATCTCCTAGAGTTATGATAATGCATGCTAGGTGGCCTGGTATGTTGCTCTTTAATAAATTGTGATTATTGTTGCTGTTGTCATCATCCATAACCTGGTCCCAGCTTTTTGAACATAGATGTGACCATAATGTAGGAATTACTCACACTGACCAATGCAAATGAAATCAGCGGTTTGAGACTGATATATATACAGAATGCTCCTTTATTAACAATGAAAACTGCAACTGCCATGAGGACTGGAATACTTAGTGAGTATAAACATTGCATTCTTTCCTCGTAGGCACATCTGTACAGGAAACCAACTTGTTATTAGAAACTAAAGGTGTGGAAGAAAAACACAGCCTAGAAAATGTGAAATTTGTGCAAGGGGAGTTAGGGTGTGATTCAGAATGTTTTGGATCATGCTGAAATACCCTGATACAGATCATACCAACATTGTCATATCTCTCTTTAGCTCTTTAAGCACCTCATGCACACACTATTCCGTCATGGGCTCTGTGCCCTTCTGTTTTCTCAACCCCTTCCTAGTTTCATTTCCTATTATTTCCAGCCTGGATGCTATAATTTGCCTAATTACTTTCCCCAAAAATAATAGCATCCTTATGGTGAATATTTACCCCTTTCCCTGCTTATAATGCATTAGCCCTACTTAACTTTCAACCAGTTACATAATTATAAATTCTACTGAGTGCCTACCATTTGAGATAGTGTGCTTAGGGGCTTGTGCCCTCTTCCACTGCCTTTCTTCTTCCTCTTTACTGTAAGATAAGACAACCCCAGTCTCTGTAATTACTATTTATTATTGATTCAAAATGTTCCCAAATTCCCAAATCCACTTTCTCATTTGCACTTGTCACAATGAGAGAATTCACAAGAAAATGCATCAGACTCTGAAAACAATTCTCCAAATAATTCTGGAGTTTCTTCCAGAATATTCCTTCACGTGATTGCTCTTCTTCCCTTGTATCTCTTACATAAGCAGACTTAACTGAGCCTGGAAGTGAGGTAAATGTTCTTCTTGCTCTTTATTGCCACTTACAGGCCATGGTTTCTGCCTTCTCCCTAGAACCCTTCAGCTCCAAGACATCTGGCACCACTACCTCTTCTGGTTGAAATCATTTACTGATCCCAAGTCACTCCCTCATTCACTGGAGATTATAACACTTGCCTTATCTTCCCATGGCTGCTCAGACCATTATACTTGGTGATTTTAATATGTATATAGTCAATCCATCCAACACCCCAGGCTCTCAAGTCTTTGGCCTCCTCTCCTCCAATGATCTGGTCCCATTTACCCCCTCAGGCATTTATGCCCACAGTTACACTCTAGACCTTGTATCATTACCAGTACGTATGCTCTTCAAAACCCAATTCAAGCATCCCATTTCCTATCATCTCTTTCAATTTCTTCCCTCTTGTACTGTCTTGCAATTTTTAATTACACCCCCAATTTAGCCTTTACTTTTCATTTCCTCCCAGTTTAAATTCTATAGGTCTTTATTACAAACCCTCTTTCAATGACCCTTGCTCTCCTCTCTCTCTCTTGGATCAACTGTCCTCTCTTTGAGAAATCCTAGTTAAAACCAATATTCAGCTCCTTCCATCCCTGCCCCCATGCAACTGAGCATAGCCAAAGAAAACTCAAAGATGATGATTTAAAACTCATGGTTGAATACCTCAAAGGAACTATCAGGGCTTCCCTCCACTCCTATGTTTCCTTAGTCAATTCACTTTCCCACTCGTAAGAGCTAACTATCCTATGCCTTATCTCCTTTCATTTCACCTCTAACAAAAATCAAGAACAGGCAAAACTAATATAAATGGCATTAGAACTGAGGATAGTGGTTACCTTTGGGGAAGAAAGAGGTTGTGATTGGAAGGAGGTTACTGGGATGTAGTAATGCTCTATTTCCTGACCTGGGTGATTATTTACAGATGTGTTCAGTTTGTACGCTTACATTTTGTGTTGTCTGTGTTTAAAGTTCCAAAACTGAATTCTGATTCCTCAAGCCTTCTGTCAACTTGCTTCTTCCTTGATATTCTCCATTGTGGTACACAGCCTCTCCTTTCTTAAAGGTGCTCAGGCCAAAGCCATTAGAACCATTCTAGTTTCTCTTTCTCTCATACTTCCATGTCTACAAACAATCAGCAAATTGTCTGTATTTTCAAAATACATTTCCAATCTAACTACTTCCTACAACTTATTAATATCTTTCTCTAAACCACATTTGCTCTTACCTGGACTAGCATTCCAACTAGACCTCTGATGAACTTGTGACCCCTACAGTCTCTTCCCTACACTGCGGCAAGCAAGTGACCCTTTTAAAACATAATTAAATCATGTCAGTCCTCAGCTCAACATTCTCCAGTGGCCTACCATCTCATTCTGAATAAAATGCCCGATCTTTTTCATGACAAAGAAGCCCTGCATGAACCGTTTCCCAGCTCTCTCTCTGACTTCATCTACCACTTACTCATTGTGCTCTAAAACTGACAAAGATGCTTTAAAACTAAGATGTTCCTAAAACTGACAATGTTCCTAAAACTGACAAAGATGCTCCTATCTCAGGACCTTTGTTGCTACTGGTTCCTCTGTCTGTAACGTTTTTCTCCCAGATATCTACTTGGTTCATTTCTTCATTTCCTCCAGTCTATACTGCAATGAAATTTCATTAGAAAGGCAGTTCCCAGCCAACATGTGAGGATTCCTCACAAGCCCTTCATGCTGCTCTAGTGTTATTTATAACATTTATAACACTTTTGACATTTCACACATTTAAAATAGGATGTGAGCTCTGCAAATGCAAATTTGGTTTTGTCCACTTCTCAACTCCAACCTCTATAAGATCAGGTATCTCTTACGCATTGGCTGTGCTGAATGATTTTTAATGTCTACCTAAATGTTTAAGAATGACTGACTAGGCTTTGTGATATCTCTCCCTTTCCCTCTTCCCTCACCCAGTTATTTGACAAAAACTAGTCAGATGGCCCAATTTTCTATGATCTGGTGACAGATAAGGAAATTGTCAATCTAGGACCTGGAGCAAAACGCTTGGTCTCTGCATGCTCAATCTTGGACACTGATCCAAAGAAACTACATATGAAGGTTTAGAATTTTTTTGTAAATAGTAGAGAATTCTTTGTCTCATAAAGTACTGTCTGGCTTTATTAATTCTGAGATTATATTTCTGAAGTTTGGTCAATGGATGTTAGACATCTAAAGTGAATCCTTCTGCTACTTTAAGAAAAAAACTCTAACTTCTAACTTTCAATTTTCCCCTTTAGATTTTAATTTTACTCCACTTTCAGTGTGATACTGAGATGATGTTTCAGGTATGTCATGCTAGGAGCTTATAGCATATAAATGACATAATTAATTTTAAAAGACTAAGAAACCACTCAACTTCCCCTCTGGTCTTAAGGTAGGGGTGAGAAGCAGAGAAAAAGGTAACTGCATGGTTAAAGGACATGTCAGGTAATAAGGGACAAAACTTTAGTTCACCAGTTTAGTTTAGTTTAGTTAGATTAACATGATTAAGAGCAGCAATTAAAAACATACCCACTTGGGGAAACAAATATCTTCTGGGATAGCTATAAAGATGTTTTTGAGGTATTCAAAAAGGAGACACAGAAACCAAGATCATGTTAATTACTGGAGCCTCACAGCATATCCCTTCACTAGGCCTGTATTATCTAGGAGTGGGTAACACATTTCCAAAGATGAGGAAGATGAGGAAGATGGAGTACAAGCAGGCATAAAAGAGGAATTAAGCAGTGATCACATATTCTTGTTACTCGGGGTTTGATCTGACAGTATCTGTGAAGAGATCAAATTAATGGGACAGAGTGGGATCTTTCAGGGTTAATTATAGATTTGTACATCAATTCTCTTGCTTCACATAGGAATCAGAGTGGCACAAGGAAAGCAGTCTTCCCGACAGACTGTTTTACATTTTGGGATCTTCAGTGAAACAAAATGACCCTTCATCTGGATATAGAAACTTCATTTCCTTGTACTGTAGGAGTAGCTCAGATCCAACCAAAGCTTGCCTTATAACCTGAGATCCATTTCACTTTGCCAGTTTCTACCTCTTTGCAACAGGTAATTCCTACATAATGGAACACTTTTTAATTTCTTAATATCAAGATGACATTCCTTTATAGATGTTTCAGATCACAACAGAAAAGATTCTGAGATTTAATTGGCTACATTATTTCCTGAATTGTTTTTCACTGTATGGCATTTTCAGTTAAAGAGGTGACAAAATTCCAGTGCAGGTCACTGGCATTTATATAAGCAAAAAAGACTGCACTGATTTTTTCACTTGTAAAAATATGCAGTGCTCACTCCCCCAAACCTCATTTGTGGGAAGAGTTTAGTTCTCCTTATATTTAAATAATGATCAGTTTCTATGCTACCCCCTGTTCTCATAGCTCTCCACTGTCAAGGCTAGACTGGAAAACTATCAGTTGCTGTTAAAAGAGCTGACCTGATTATTAGACTGTACCTGGAAAAAATGTAAGGGAACAGTTTCTTTATGGCTAAACATTATCCTGACTAGAATTGCCACAAATGGTCTTGCAGGCTGTGGGCTGCACATTTCCGGGAGTGTCACTCTTAGTGTCCTCTGCTTCTGATATCAGGGCAGGGGAGGGAGCAAGAGAAAGCAAGTAAAATGATTCATTTTTACACAATTAATTTCTGCACTTTACCTCCAAAAGCTTGTGAAAACCCAATTTACAAAGATGACAGTCAAAATGACATTATACTGAGCAACTAATCTGTGAAGCTTCTAGGAGGAGCCACAAGAAACTAACTAAAGGAATGGATACTGAAATCTAATCTGGCTGTTCTCTCCAAGTTGCACATTAAGAGTTAAAAACAAACCAGCCCTGAAGCCTGGGTCTTACACAGCTGGCTAATTAATTTAATCTCTTGGAATGGGGCTTTGGTAATAAATTATGAAGTTCCCAAACTAATTCCACTATGCAGCAAAGGTTAAATAACACTGGTTTAAGCTGCAGAAAAGCTCTATAATTGTGATAAACTCCTAGAATCTTAAAACATACTATAAGAGAAAAATAATAGAAAAATAATACTTGCATTGAGCTAAACCATAATATGTTAGTTATTAATTTGAGGATATTTTATAATCTTTTTATTAGAAACTAGTCAAACAACTGAAAAGCATTAGAACAGGAGCATTATAGATCACTGGTCTAGTTACTGAAGCACAAATGCTTTCTACTGTCCAAACATGCATAAATATATACGTTCTAGGTATAACATAGCAAAATGCTGATATAGATTAATCCTATTCAAGAATATATTGTGAATATACAAAACTGAATATAAAACCAAACAACCTTTGAAATCATCTATTCCAAATCCCTCATTTCAGAGGAAATTGAACCTTAAAACAGCTGAATTTTCCAATGTCACCCATAACTGTATTACTTCAGTTCAATGTGCTTTCATTCCATAGTGTGATAATGAAAAGTTAAAATATTTTAATCAGTTTCTCAATCCATTCTAATTCTTCAGTACTTAAAAGATCAAACTATAGTAAAAGCATACCCTACAATGTTCCTAGGGCTGTCATATGCCAGAGTGAAGTCTCTGATGTTTTTTGAGAGCAGAACGGTATCTGAAGACCTTTCCACAATCATTACATCCAAAAGGTTTCTCTCCTGAATGAATTCTCTGATGCTGGATGAGGTAAGTGCTCTGGCTGAAAGTCTTCCTACATTCATTACAGTTATAAGGTTTCTCTCCAGTATGAGTATTCTGATGTTCAGTCAGATGAGTGCTCCGGCTAAAGGCTTTGTCACATTCATTGCACTTATAGGGCTTCTCTCCAGTGTGAATTCGTTGATGCTGAGTAAGATGGGAGCTCTGGCTGAAAGCTTTTTCACATTTATTACACTGAAAGGGTTTTTCTTCTGTGTGAGTTTTTTGATGTTGAGTAAGAGATGAACAATGTCGAAAGGCTTTACCACACTCATTACACTCATAAGGCTTTGCTCCTGAGTGAATTCTCTTATGTTGTGTAAGGTGTATGTTCTGGTTGAATGCTCTCCCACATTCATTACACTTGTAAGGTCTTTCTCCAGTATGTATTTTCCTATGTTGAATAAGGGATGAGCCATAACTGAAGGTTTTTCCACATTCATGACACTGATAGGGTTTCTCACCAGTATGAATTCTTTCATGTTTAGCAAGAGATGAACTCCGAATAAAGGCTTTCCCACATTCCTTACATTCATAAGCTTTCTCTTGGGTATGAGTCTTTTGATGTTGATTAAGGTTTGAGAGGTAACTGAAAGCCTTTCCACATTCATTGCATTCAAAGGGCTTTTCTCTGGTGTGAATCCTCCGATGTTGAGTAAGGGATGAACAATAACTGAAGGCCTTTCCACATTCATTGCACTTGTAAGGCTTTTCTCCAGTATGAATTTTCAGATGTTGAGCAAGGGACGACCAGTAACTAAAAGACTTTCCACATTCAGCACAATCATAAGGTTTCTCCCCAGTATGTGTTTTCTGATGTTGAGTGAGGTTTGAGTGCTGACTGAAGGCTTTTCCACATTCATTGCATTCATAAGGTTTTTCACCAGTATGAATCATATGATGACGGATAAATGTTGAGGGCCCATTAAAGGCCTTCCCACATTCATTACATTTATAGGTTTTCTCTCCAGTATGAATTTTTTGATGTTGAGTAAGGTGTGTGCTCCTGGTAAAGGTTTTATCACACTCATCACATTTAAAAGGTTTTTCTCCTGTATGAATTTTCTGATGTTCCATAAAGTGGCCTCTCTGGCTAAAGGCTTTTCCACACTCATTACAGGTATATGGTTTCTCACCAGTATGAATTCTCTGATGCTGAACAAGATGGGTCCTTTGACTAAAGGCTTTCCCACATTCATCACATTTATAGGGTTTTTCTCCAGTGTGAATTCTTTGATGTTGAGTAAGAGATGGACCCTCAATGAAGCCTTTTCCACACTGATCACATTTATATGGTTTATCTCCAGAATGAATTCTTTGATGGTTTATAAGGTTTTCACTCCGACTGAAGGCTTTTTCACATTCATTACATTTGTACGGTTTTTCTCCAGTATGTGTTCTCTGGTGGCGAATGAGAGCTGAACAGTAACTAAAAGCTTTCCCACATTCGTTGCACCTACAAGATTTTTCTTTTTTAACTGGCTTTAAAGTCTGTTTGTTGCTTGTTTTAGTAGAGGTCTCTTGTGGATATGTTTCCCATTGTGTTACAATGTTTGAACTCATATTGATGCTTTCTTCAAGATCATTATTTACAGGGCCTCTCTCCCATGTGGGCACTGTCTTTTCAGTTAATTTTACTTCTCTTGGCAGTGTCTGTTGGTTTGTCTGCTGCCTCTCTACACTGCCTTCAGATACACAACTCTCTAAGAAGTTGGAACTGCAATGTTCATCCCTTTTGTGTTTTTCCACTCTTGCCTCTTTAGATGATTGTTTTTCAGAAATGTCCAGCTCTGGGGCTACTATGCTATTTTCCAGTATCATTTCCCAGTCTGAAAGAAAAAGAAAAGCTCTGTATTCTCTGAACAGAGGAAAAGAGTCCTGCTGTTAACAGAAATAACTTATAAAGCCCTCAGGAAATCTTGAGTATTTTCAAATATAACCCTATTATTTTGGGGAAAAAGTTGGAAGGAATCAAGGATAATGATAAAGACAATATAAAAGTGGCAAGAAAATGTCTAATTCAATTTCATAAATAATTTCTAAGAACCAGTAAGGAAATTCCATTTAAGGTAGACTAAAAAGTGACCATAGAGATGGCTAAGAGGAGACAGATGGACTGAATCTAAGAAAGCAGTCTTAAATGGGATCCCTTGCTGACGATTAAGAAAACAAAAATCTAAGAGCCAAGATTTCAATGACAGGAAAACAGTAAAGACCTGGCTAAGATTCTATGGTTTATAGCCTGGAACACTGAAGGAACAGCCATATCACTGCTCAAAATGGGAAAGTTGTAAACAGTAAAGGAAATAATTTGTGAGGAGGAAAATAATGTGTTCGACTCTAGGCATTTTGAGATTTAGGAAGAAAAATGGAGTACTCCACTATAGGGGTGTTTGTAGGGGTGGGAGACATCCAAAGTAGAATAATCAAGATGTTCATATGTAAGGTAGGAAATACCAGCTCAAAAGCAGAAGGAAAAGAATAGCTGGAGCCATAGGAATATGAAAAAGAGCAGAGGTGGGGGCACAATCGTTGAGGGTCTTTAGGATAATGGGATTAATACAATATAATACTGAAAGAGAGCAGTTTGTCAGCAAACAGTAAATGAAACAAAAGACAGAAAAGTACATAACCAGGACAAAGAGTATTGCCCAAGACAAGAAAGATGACCATTAAAAGAAGCGGATTAATCAATACTGGCAGATTCAGTAAAAACAAAACGGTTGTGTTTAAATAGCATTTCTTTGGTTCTACTGGAAACAGGAGGGTACAGCAGATAGCAGAGAATCCTGAATTTCCTATGCTGCCACCTAGTCACTTTCACCTTCATTATCACTGCAAGCACGAGCAGTGAGGAAGAGGCTCATAGTTGCCTGCCATAACCAGTACCATGGATAATGGTGCAGTGTATATTAAGTGCAGGCAGACTCATAGCAGCAGTACTTCTCCAGCAGGAACAAGAAAATCAGTTTTCTTAGCTAAAAATAATAATAAAAAACCCATGTTGCATAGATAATATAATTCCAGTGATCCAGTCAATAGGCAGAGGACAATCACATGATGTATTTATTTAGTTCCATTCTTTTATTTACTTTTCATTGCTGGAATGACCTGATGATCATAGTCTTAGTAAGCTAGTCTTTGGTACTGCCCTCTTCAGCATTCAGAACACACATTTTGGGTAATGGCCAGTTGTTCAGTATAAGAAATGGATATGTTCTTATTAACAGGAGTGACACCAAAAATATATTTGTACAGCAGATGGCCATAAAGAATACCTCCTGGAAATACTTTACAGTGAAGTAGATATTGAGACCATGGAGTCTGATGTTGCTAAAGGAGAAAAGGGTGTGGAAGTGGCTAATCTCCAGCCTTGGTTGGAGTTCTAGTTGAAGGGAGTCATCATACAACAGAAAGTGACCAATGTTATCCATGTTGTCATGTCTTCACACAATAGCCAACAGAATGACCAGAATATCATGGGGGGGAGGGTGGCAAAGAATGAGGAATTGGAGGAAGTTCCAGAAGGTCAGCCTGAACAGTACCATCCCTACTGCAAGGAATTCCCACTTTACTGCAGCAAGTCTGTGGGCACTGACCACAGTATTCCACCACCCCTGTATACGGAGAAATAATTAAGTATGTTGACAACCAGGCTGCAAAAGTACAAGGTAGACCTGTGAAACAGAGTACATGTCAGGATTATTGATCACAATTCACAAGGGCCAAGTTACCAAGACAGCCTAGAGAAGATGGCAATAAAGAAGATAAGGAAAATGACACAGACAGGGCTCAGGGCCACTGACCACCTCAATATAGGTACTATCTCAATGTCAATTACTTGTACAGATGCTTATAGAACTGTAAATCATTTTTACAGAAATGGAAGAAGCCAAGTCACTAGTTAAATGTGTGTTCTGAATGCTGAAGAGGGCAGTACCGAAGACTAGCTTACCAAGACTATGATCATCAGGTCATTCCAAGCAATGATAAGTAAATAAAAGAATGGAACTAAATAAATACATCATGTGATTGTCCTCTGCCTATTGACTGGATCACTGGAATTATATTACCTATGCAACATGGGTTTTTTATTGTTATTTTTAGCTAAGTAAGTCTTTTTGGTAATGACTAAAGCATTTTTTGAAAAATCTGCTTTTCAAAGCACATTTAATCTTTCAAAATTGTTTTATATCTGCTAAAGTTGAGATTTTTTAAAATTTCATTTCTAATTTGTAACAAACCTTGTTAATTTTTCAAAAGTTAACTGTAAAACATACAAATTAATAAAGCTCTTATTTTTTTTTAAATTACTTTTCTAAATTGTGTTCCATGAAACTTTCTAATAGATTTTAAAGGTGCAGTATGAAAACAAGGATTCATGACTGGGGTGGTGGGGCAAAGAGAAATGTTATACTCTAGGCAACTCTGTTGGAAATTCATAATGCCCAACTACATTTTTTTTTTTTAATTCTCTTAAAAACCTAAAACTTTACTAATCCAGCACTTCCCGAATTTGAACATGGTGCTTTTTTCCTCCTTGTAAAAAGAACCCCCATTCCCATCTCATTAACTCTGGAGCTAGATTCCCTACCTAGTATGACTAAGTCTGCTGCACATTTTTCCAGGATCAGATCTTTGAAGAGGTCTCTCTGTGCAGTTTGGGAGTTGATGGTTTACAAGAAAGTTATTCATAATTTCAAGGACAGTCTGATGAAGTGATAGGATCAGAGTCTATGCATAGATTAAGAAAGGAGTAGGTGATGAACAGAGGCTGCAGGCATGGTACTCAATTTTGCAGAGTTTGGTGGGAAAGCAAGGAGGCAGATTAGATGGTAGCCAAAAAGATTAACTGTGTTGAGTAACGGTGTATATGTAAATTTAGGTTACCTATTTCTATTTGAAGGTACTAGTGAAAGAGCCTGGAGATTCAAAAGGAAACTATAAGGGCTGAAAAGTTAAGTAATAATTAAGAGATCAGGGTCCCAAAGGATGTAGGAAAAGATGGAATGCAGAGTCCAGTTCAGGGCATTACTTTATGAGAAAGGCAGGAAGGAAAACTCTTCTGAAAGCACGATAAAAATAGAATATATATTGAGCCAGTGCTTGCAAAGCATAAAAGAGTCCAGATAGCTTCTTATATCTCCACCAGGCATACTTTAAAGAAAAGCAAGTACATCTATATTTCAGACATAAAATCCTATTATCAGGCTGGTGGTTAGATGACACTCATCTGCCAGGTATCCATTACTTACCTCCAGTACCTGCTGGAGTGCCAGGTTCCACAGTCCATGGCTCTGTTCCTTGTTCTAACTGGGAAATCATATCAGGTTTGGAAACTTGGAGCCCTGCTCATGGGGGGGAAAAAGGTGTATGTTTGCAATAAGTTAAAAGTGTGTATCATAATTCAGTCTCACCACTTTGTGTTCAGAGGAAAGGATATGTGGGACAAAGCTGATGGGAGTGGATAACATATAAAGCTTCAATGTTACAAATTCCCAGACATGGTATAATTTGGGAACTGATCTGGGTTCAGAAAAATTATTTGTCCTTCTACTTGCTAGGGAAATAAAAACCTTTACAAAATCTTTCAAAATGTGGAAATCTTTGGTTCCTTCAATGAAAGGCACAACTCACCTAAGCACGAGAGAACCCGCCTCCTCCACACCCCCAGATATTAACTCAGAGAAGTTATCCTCACCTATAGAGACCAGGTGTGTATAATTTTCCAATGTTACATCCCTGAACAAATCTCTCTGCACAGGATCCAGCTGTTTCCATTCTTCCTGGGTGAAGTCCACTATCACATCCTTGAAGGTCACTGATTCCTGAAACACCAAACATATTTCTGCTTAGCCATAAAGCATTCACTTAGGCAAGGGATAAAGTTAGCAATATTGACAAAAGTAAGGCAACCTATGGGCTATCTGAAAAATGACAGATATTTCCTCCTTTGTGAAATGAATATTAAAACAGTACCTCACTCATAGGCTTATTGTAAGAATTAAATAATATGTTCAATTAGGGTCTGCCATATGTACATCATCAGTCAATATTGGCCATTATCACTATTCATTATCATCATCATCATTTGTGTGTTTCAAAATATATCAAGTATTAATTGTACACTTAACTAACATCAGTAATGTTCTACTACCTACAATGTGCAAGGATAGCCAAAGATGTTTTTGAAAGAATTTGGGGAGGAGGCCTGCCCTACCACATTACAAAATATAATACAAGATAAAATAAGCCAAAAGATAAAGATAAGATAAAACAGAGTAGCCTAGTATGGAATAAAACTCAATGAAACAAAATAGAGAGTCCAAAAACAGACTCGTATTTATAAGAATTGAATAGAATCAAGCAACTTTCAAATTAGTTAAAATAAGCTGGATTAGTTACTAAATGATGTCATAATTAATTATCTGAGAAAAAATTGAGTTCCTTATTTCATGGTATACCATCAAAATCCAAACAAAAATTTCTGCTAGATTACAGACTAAACTTTAAAGAAAAAGCAAAAATAAAAGACAGTGAAACACTTTTTAGTAAGTTTGAAATGTGAAAGATAAAAATTATAAGGAGACTGGTAAGTGTAACCATATAAAAATGTAAAACTTCTAATAAACTTTATCAACAGGCAATATTCTTAGTTTCTACAAATAGCAAAAAAGATGAACAACTCACAAAAGTAACAAGGCCAACAACCCAAACAGATAATTCACCTAAGACATTGTTAACAAACCATGAAAAATGCTCCACTCTACTAAAAATAGAGTGAAATAATGATATCTGAATGACTAACACTGCTGAGCGTACATGCGTACTATGGTGGGAACAGAAACCTAACGCAGTCTATCTGGAGTGCAATCTAACAGGACCTATCATTCAACCTAGTTTTTTTGCTTGTAGAAATTTATTCTTCAGAAACATGTCAGGATGCAAATACATATGTACAAGTACCCTTGCAACACTGCGTGAGAGGGGCAAAAAGCAAACTTAAATGTCCCTTAATAGGAGACTGGTTAAAAAATGTATGCTATATCCATACTAAAGCACTTTATGTAGACATTTTATAAATGAAGTACCTGTAATATACAGATTAGGAAATATGTGTAAATATTTAAAAAACAGTATATACATGGTATGACCCCACTTTTATTTTTATGAATAGGAAAGTTTATATGTAAGTGCACAGAAAAAAACCTGAAAGAACACATTACCAACTATTATTAGTGGTACTGTGTAGTGGGACTTGGAGGCATTGCAGGGGAACTTTCTAATTTTTTTGTTTACTATGTATTTGAAACTGGGTGATTAAATTTTGCCTTGAAATAGATTAGTGTATTATTGGAATTTCTGCTTCTAGACCCACAGAGCAACTGGACTAGCTCTCCCAGTGTAAACAACCATAAAACTAAACAATACATCTGAAACAAGTATTTTTGTACTTTGAACAGCAAGCAGAACTGTGACCCCTGAGAGAAGGAAGACAATCATATAAGCCCCATAATCCCCTCAGCTTCCTGTTTAGAGATACTCTCCAGACTTCCAAGAAAGAAGGCACAGACTCTACAAAGCACAGTGGTCTTACTGAGCTGAGGAGAGAAAGGGGGCTCAGACTATTAGGGCAGGGAATTTGCAGCATAGATACTGGATAGGAGGGGACTATATAGAGATGATCCAAAAATCTGGTGAAAATACCATCTCCACAGCACTATCAAATTACAGATATGATAGAACTGAACCCAGAGTTAAGAAGAGAGATATCACAAACAGTTCCAGCACACTTTCGAAGTAACACTCCCTAAAACCAGTTTTTGATAACATATGCCACAGCAAAAGAATACACAATCCCATTTCAAGGACTGAAAAGACATTTCAGGAAATCCTAACATACCTGAAAACTGGCTGATGGGAGTAGAATACGCCCCTCTTGAAGAAGGGCAGATTCTGAAGAGGAGAGATCTGGAGAAAGAAGAAGAAACCCCAATTAATCCTGTTCAACTTTCCACAAGTATTCACAGGCCCTTTGAAACTTCGCTATTAAGGCAAATGATCACAACAACATATATCACTTACATTACTTACCCCCCAGAATGTATGAAATTAAATAGACATGGTCAAAACTGCTGGCATAAATATGCAGTAGTTGGAACTTTTGTACATTGCTGTGATATAAATTTCTCAATCACTGAGGAAAACTAGCAGTATATTCTAAAGCTAAGTAAATATCTGCTCTATAACTAAGCAACTCCACTCCTACACATACAGTACCCAAAGCAATGAGGGCTTATGTCCACCAAAGCACAAGACTATTCTTAGCAGGTTTATTTATAATATCTCCAAACTGGAAGCAATCCAAATGTCTTTCAACAGGAGAATGGATAAACTGATATTTCATAAAATAGAATATTATTCCATAATATAAAAGAATGAGCTATTGACAAACCTAACATGGATGTATCTCATAAAAAGTATTGAGCTACACAAACCAGACATAAAAGAATGCACACTATATTACTCCATTTATATTAAATTCAATAACAGACCAAAATAACCCACAGTTACAGAAGTTACAATAGTGGGTACCTCTGGCAGGTTATTAACTGGGCAGGTGACCAAGAAAGACTTCTGGGCCATTAGAAACATTCTGTATCTTAATATGGGTAGTATATATAATATATAAAAATTAATCAAGCAGTACACTTAAGAATTATGCAGTTAATGTATGTAACTTATATATCAATAAAGAAAACAAAAACTTTCCTCTTGGAGAATGGTTAATAGGTAAGACCAATCCTCAGAAAATAGAAGCAGCGATGAAAGGAACTATTACTCTAGATTTAAATTTGACCAGTAAGGGAAAACTTTTGTTAACAGAAATCTTGAGAAAATAATGAAAATGTTATCTTGGAATTTTTAGCAGTAAAAGGAAATATTGTGTACCTGGACAAATACATACCCAAGACTATAGGAAAACAGAATCAAGAGCAATGTCTTAGCTAAGATGCTTTTGATTCCAAGTAATAAAAACCAACTGAACCAACAATAGTAACAGTTGTAGAAACCAACTATGTGCCTAGCAACAGTAAATGCCTAGTAAATGTTACAAGTATTATCATGACTTTAAGAGATAAGAGGCTTATGAAAGGTAATCCAAATTATGCAATTGTGAGAAATCTCCAAAAGAAAAAGCATTGATGAAACTATTTTGGTTGACTTAATTCTGATGAACTTAAAATTTAAAAGAACACTCATAAAAGATATAAGGGGCAAAAAACTTAGAGGAGGAGTGATGTCATCAACATGGCAGAGTAAGTTTGCTACCATCTTCCTCCCAAAGCATACTGATTTAGACAATCACTCACAGATGACAATGTCCTTGTAAAAGTCCAGGAGTCCAGCAGGGAAATTCCAGCAAACCATTGGGGCAAAAAGAAAATCCATGAGTGGACACATTGAAGAAAAAAGAGGAACAGTTTCACTTTACTACCCATGTCACTCCCCTGGCCAAAGTGGCAAAGCTCAGTGCCAAGAAAGACCTTCTCAGCCTATTATTTACTCATGGGGGAAGTGAGAGCATGTGAGTACCCAGGTTCTCTAGTTGTGTGGGATGCCAATCAAGAAACACAGTTCTTTCTCACTCATCCAGAATACTGAGGTGTGCTGAGTGATTGACTGGGTGGTGGGGAGCAGTCAGAGCTCTCAGAGGGTACAAAAGGAACAAAGATCCTACTAAACCACTTCACAGACTCCATCAGGAAGATGGAGCCACTGGGGATGCTTTGCCTACAGATCACACCAACTCATCATTAACAACCCTAATACTTCATGTGCCTCACCTACATCCCACTCTCACATTGCAGCTGCCTTCCTATGTGCACCCCCTACAGCGGTAAGAGTGAGCCTTTGTAGACAGCTGGTGAACACATGCAGAAAGCCAATCTAAATCTGTAGCATTGGGAGAAAGCACTAAAACCTGACCATTCAGGATTGCCAAAGGAAAGCAAATGGGAGGCTGTCAGCACCCAGCAAGCACCTGGCTTTGCAGTATTGAGAAAAGGCATACAATCTTGAGAATTCAAGAGGAACAAGAAAATGTGGGGCAGATATATCTATAGAAGGTTGAAGAAAGCCTTAGAATCCCCAACAGGGCTGACAGAAGGTAATTCTTCCCAAAGTTAGTGAAGACTGGATCAGGTGACTACATCTTCAAAAGGGAAGATAGCAAAGCAAGAATGCAAGGAACATGAAAAGTCAAGAAAACATGACAGTACCAAAGAATACAATAATTTTCCTGTAACTGACCCAAAGAAATTGACATCTATGATTTCCGTAAGAAATTCAAAATAGTTGTTTTAAGGAATCTCAGTCAGCTACAAGAAAACACAGGAAGATGATTAAATGAAATTAGGAAAATAATCCACAATACTTGAAGTTTTACAAAAAGACCAATCTTAGAAAAATCTTCAACCAAAGAACACAATGAATGAAATGAAAAATTAGACAAAATATAATCTATTGCAGACTGAATCAAGAAAAGAAAAGAATCTGTGAGGCAGGAGACAGTCTTTTGAAATTATCCAGTCAGAGAATATAGAAAAAAATAATACAAAAGAACAAAGAAAGCCTACATGAACCATGAAATGCCATTAAAAGATCTATGCATTATTGGAGTCACAGAAGAAGAGAGGGAGAAAGGGAAAGAAAGCTTACTTAAGGAAATAAAACTTCCTCAATCTTGGGAGAGATTAGGACATCCAAGTTTGTGAAGCTTAGAAATCCTCAAATAATTTTACCCACAAAACACCTTCACTGAGGCACATTATGATAAAACTGTCTCAAATCAAAGACAAAGGGAAAATTTTAAGAGCAACAAGAGGAAAAAAAATTCCTCACATTCAAGGGAACTCCTGTAGGTTTATCTGGATTTCTCAGCAAACTGTGTAGGCAGGAAAGAGTGGGATGATATATATTCAAAGTGCTCAAAGCAAAAACTTCCATCTAAGAATATATTATCTGGTAAAGTGGTCCTTCAGAAATGAAGGAGAGATAAAGACTTTCCTACATAAACAAAAACTGAAGGAATTCATCACCACTAGTCTTGCTTTACAAGAAATGGTGAAAGGTGTCTTTTAAGCTGATATGAAAAAGAAATATACAAAATGATAAAACACTGATAAGGATAAATATATAATCAAATTCAGAATACTCAAATACTGTAATATGGTTATGTGTTCATCACTTAATTCTTATGTAAAGGTTAAAGGACAAAAATGTTTTAAAAAATCCTGAATACAGGATATAAAAAGATGTTATTTCTGACATCAAAAACAAAATGGTGGGGTTAGTAAAAGAGTTGAGTTTTTGTATGCTATTGAAGTAATCAGCTTGAAATAGACTGTTGTATCTGCAAGACGTTTCTAAGTCACAGAGTAACCACAAAGCAAAACCTACAATATATACACAAAAGATAAAGAAAAGGAATGAAAGCAAACCACTACAGAAAATCATCAACTCACAAAGACAGCAAAAGATGAGGAAAGAACATGGAAAGTACAAAACAGCCAGCAAATGCTAATAATCTGGCATTTGTAGGTCCTTACCTACTAATTACTTTAAATAAATGGACTAAATTCCCCAATAAAAAGGAATAAAGTGGCTGTGTGGATAAAAAAACAGAATCCAACTTTACACTGCCTACAGAGTCATTTCAGTTGTAAGGACACACACAGACTCAAAGTAAAGGGATGGAAAAAGATATCCTATGCAAATGGAAAGCAGAAGATAGCAGATTTAGCTATACATATATCAGACAAAACAGACTTTAAGTCACGAACTATAATAAGCAATATAGGGGTCAATTATAATAAATGACAAAGGTGTCAATTCATTAAGAGGGTGTAACAAGTAGAAATATATATGTACCTAACATCAGAGCTCCTAACTATGTTAAGCAAATACTAACAGATCTGAAGGGAAAAATAAACAATGTGGTAATAGTAGAGGAATTTAATACCCCACCGTCAGCAATGAATAGATCATACAGACAGAAAATCAACAAGGGAACACTGGACTTGACTCATACTTTAGACAAATAAACCTAACAGACATATACAGAACATTCTATACAACAGCACCAGCATACACACTCCTCTCTAGTGCACAAGGAACACCCTCCATGATAGATTGTATGATAGATAAAAAAACAAGTCTCAGCAAATTTAGGAAGACTGAAATCATACAAATAATCTATTCCAACCACAATGGTATACAATGAGAAATAAGATGGTTTCCTTGGTGAACTTTAATTGTGAGAAGAATTAAAACCAAGTCTTGCAAACTCTTCCAAAAGCTGAAAAGGAGGGAACAGTCATTTTACAAAGCCAGATTACCCAGAAAACAAAGCCAGACAAGGATACTACAAGAATACTATATTCTAATATCCCTGATGACTAATGATGCAAAAATTCCCAACAAAATATTGGCAGACCAAATTCAACAACATATTAAAAGGATAATATATCATAATCAAGTGGAATTTATCCCTGGGCTGCAAGGATAGTTCTAAACATATTCAAATCAATAACCCTGAATAGATAAAGCAAGCTTGAAAAAAAACGTAACTGGAGGTTTCATGCTTCTTCGTAATTCAACTAATACTACAAAGCTACAGTAATCAAAATAGTATGATACTGGCACAAGAACAGATATATAGATCAATAGAACAGAATAGGAAGCCCAGAAACAAACCCATGTCTATACATGGTCAGTTCATATATGACAAAGAAGGTAAGAACATACAATGAGGAAAAGGTAGTTTCTTCAATAAATGGTGTTGGGGAAATTGGACACCTACATGCAAAAGAATGAAACTGGATCATTGTCTCACAACATACACAAAACTAAGCTCAAAATGAATCAAAGACATAAATATAAGACCAGAAACATAAAACTACTTTTAGAAAACATAGGCAGTAAACTCTTGAACATCAGCAGTGTACTAATCTGGTTACTTCTCTCCAGGCAAGGGAAACAAAAGCAAAAGTAAACAAGTGAACTACATCAAACTAAAAAGCTTCTGTACAGCAAAGGAAACATCAACAGAACAAAAAGACAACCTACTGTATGGGAGAATATATTTGAAAACAATATTTCTGACAGGGGCTAATATCCAAAATATCCAAAATAGGCAGAGGACCTGAATAGACATTTTTCCAAACAAGACATACAGATGGCCAACAGACCATATGGAAAGATGCACATCATCGCTAATCATCAAGGAAATGCAAATCAAAACTTCAATGAGATACCACCTCACACCAAGTCAGAATGGCTAGTATCAACAAAAAGTAACAAGTGTGGTAAGGATGTGGAAAAATGGGAATCCTTGTACACTGCTGGTGGGACTGCAAATTGGTACAACCTGTATGCAGTATGGAGTTTCTCAAAAACTAAAAATAGAAATACCATATGACCCAGCAATTTCACTTCTAGGAATCTACCAGAGGAAAACAATATCGTTGATTGGAAGAAATAAATGCACTCTTATTTATTGCCACATAATTACAATATCCGAGATACAGAAGCAACCAAAGTATCCATCAAGAGATGAAACTATAAAGAAGGTGTAGTACATATATACAATATTACTCGGCCATAAAAAATAAATAAATCCTGCCATTTGTGACAACATGGATGGACCTAGAGAGTATTATGCTAAGTGAAGTCAGTCAGAGAAAGAGGAATACCATGGAGTTTCACTAATATGTGGAATCTGAAAAAGAAAACAAACAAATAAAACAGGAATAAAATCAAACAGAGACCAGTTGGTTACCATGGGATGGGACTACAGGTAAAATAGGTAAAGGGGATAAAGAAGTACAAACATCAAATTATAAAATAGTTTAGTCATAGGGATGGAAGTATTGTTAAGGAATATAACTCCGAATATTTTAAAATCTTTGTATAGTGATAGTAACTACCCTTACCATGGTGAGTGCTTGATGAAGTATATAACTGATGAATCACTAAGTTGTTCATCTGAAACCAGTTTAATATTGTATATAAATTATATTTCAATAAAAAAAACTTTTTAAAAAAGGGGCTTGACATCACTAATCATGAGGGAAATACAAATCAAAACTAAACTACTTTACACCTGTTAGAATGAGTATCATCAAAAGGACAAGAGGCAACAAGTGATGGTGAGGATGTGGAGAAAATGAAAAATTTGAGCACTGTTGGTGAGAATGTAAATTGATAGAGTCACATTGGAAAATATATATATCACATTTTCTTTACCCATTCATTCATTCCTGAGACACTTAGGTTGTTTCCATGTCTTGGCTATTATGAATAATAGTGCAGTGAACACAGAGGTACAGATACTCTCCAAGATAGTGACTTCATTTTCCTTGGATATATACTCAAAAGTGAGACTACTGGATCATATAATACTTCTATTTTTAATTTCTTAAGGAACCTCCATATTGTTTTCCATAGTGACTATATATCAATTTACATTCCCACCAACAGTGGGAATATTTTGTGTATATATGCAATGGAATATTATACATCCCTAAAAAGGAAATCCTGCTTTTTGCGACAACATGGATGAATCTTAAGGACATTATGCTAAGTGAAATCAGATAGAGAAAGACATATACTGCATGATCACACTGATACATGGACTCTAAAAAAGCCAAACATACAGAAACAAAGAGTAAAATGGTGGTTACCAGGGGCTGGGGGGTGGTGGAAGATGATGGGAGATGTTGACCACAGAGTAGAAACTTAGTTATAAATAAGTTCTAGAGATCTAATGTACAGCATGGTGACTATAGTTAACAATACTATATACCTGAAAGTTGCTGAGAGCAAAGTTTAACTGTTCTCACCACACACACACAAAGGGCAAGTATGTGAGGTGATGTGTTAACTAACCTTATTGTGGTAATCATTTTGCAGTACACAGATTTATCAAATCACCACACTGGACAACTTAAACTTTACACAATGTTATGGGTTAATTACATCTCAGTACAGCGGGAAAAGAAATTTCCCAGCAATGTTCTGTAGCTTTCTGTGTACAGACATTGCATATTTTTGTTAGATATATTCCTGTTTCATACTTTCTTATACTATCATAAATTGAATTATTCTTATTACAATTTATAATTGTTCATTAGTGACACAATACAGTTAAGTTAAACGACTTGTTGTGAGATAACTGTAGATACGCATGCAAGCTGTAATAAATATAACAGATTCTTTGTACCTTTAAAAAAAAAAGACTGAGGACAAATATAAGGTATAGCTCAAACCTATGTAAATAATATGTTAAGACTTCTAGTGATATTAAACAAATTTTTAAAAAGGACTGGATGGTAACAGTTAAGTTAAACCAAACCTGACTGTGTAGTCATACCTAAAGAATGTAAAGACAATGATGATGCAGAGGGAAGTCCATAGATGTCACAGGGCTCTGACCTCACCCTGACCTGTTCAATGATATAAAGGAAGAACTAGAAGGAATACTCATTAACTATACTAGTGACATGAAGTTGGAAAGAACAGTTAAAACACTTGATAAGTAAATTAAGATTCAGAATTATTCTGACAAATTGGAACACTTGCCAAAAGATTGAATAATTATATATGTTTTAAGTCCTGATGTTAAGGATAAAAAAGTTCTATTTTTTTAAACTGCAGCTTATATAAATTAAAAAATATCTAGGTTTACAGCACAATGTTACTGACTTTTATTAAAGCAAATACAATCTGATGTTAAACAGCAGAAGTATAATCCAAATCAAAAGTAGATATTTTTTAAAGCACATCTAAAGAACTGTTTAATTTTACGCAATGCATTTTAAGAAACATGCTGAGATGCAGGAGGGTTTCCAGAGAAGAGGTCTTGATATGTCATATGAACAGACATCAAAGGACCTGAGGCTATTTTGTTTAGAAAGGAAAAGTATTTGTGAGTAGGAGTTGTAACAGCTGAATTCACATATCTGAAGGGCAGCAATGTGAAAGGGAGCAATCTCTTGCTTATGGAGACTAAGAACTAAGATCAACACATAAGTTAACAGGAACAGGCACTTCTGCTTAATATAAGGAACTGAAAAAAGAAAGGGGAACATGGGAAGTTGTTTGCACCCAAAATGGACAGTTTAATGCCACACTAGTTCAGGCATAGGCTTAACTAAAAGAGGCCATCTGCCAAGATATTTCAAAACTGATTCTTGCATTTAAGGGATGATTACCAAGATTTTTTTTCTGACTGCAAGATTATCAGTTCAATATCTAATAAAAAGAAGTTGTGTAAGGATCACAGACATTCTATATCATTGCTCCATTTCATTCCCTAATCCGGAGAATGAACTAACTCTTCCTCCAAGTCTCTCCCTGTAAATGTAAAGAAGAATCTCTCTGTATAGTGTAATTCAGTTTCTTTTCTCTATCCCTAAATATGAGGTTCCCTCCTTCATCTCAACCGGCTCTGTCATGTATTTGATTTCAAATCATGGCTGTTCTTTTGCCTGCACCATTCCATTCTTCCCCCTATCGTCCCCACTACCTTCCATCTCAGGAACTCATCCCTTTCCTCTGGAACCTGGACACCAAGGTTTCCCAAGCAGCGTCCCTCCACCTGGATCCCCGATGTGGCGCTCAGATGTCCATCAAGGAGTTTGAGCCCGTACACACACTGGCTGAGTGTGGCTGCCCTAGAAGACACAGGATGGGGTTAGCAGCATGCGTCACAGTCACACCTCAGAGTTTTACATGGTGCCCAAGAGGTCCTTGGAAAAGAGAAGTGCCCGGAGAGAACACTAAATAGGAACCCCTGCTGAACAAAAACAGAATTGAGATCGGGTATGCAGGTTCAGCCCGCCTCAAAAAAGGTCCTTGGTGCCAACCCTGGAATCTAGCTAGAGGTGAGGGATGGGACTACAGGTAAAATAGGTAAAGGGGATAAAGAAGTACAAACATCAAATTATAAAATAGTTTAGTCATAGGGATGGAAGTATTGTTAAGGAATATAACTCCGAATATTTTAAAATCTTTGTATAGTGATAGTAACTACCCTTACCATGGTGAGTGCTTGATGAAGTATATAACTGATGAATCACTAAGTTGTTCATCTGAAACCAGTTTAATATTGTATATAAATTATATTTCAATAAAAAAAACTTTTTAAAAAAGGGGCTTGACATCACTAATCATGAGGGAAATACAAATCAAAACTAAACTACTTTACACCTGTTAGAATGAGTATCATCAAAAGGACAAGAGGCAACAAGTGATGGTGAGGATGTGGAGAAAATGAAAAATTTGAGCACTGTTGGTGAGAATGTAAATTGATAGAGTCACATTGGAAAATATATATATCACATTTTCTTTACCCATTCATTCATTCCTGAGACACTTAGGTTGTTTCCATGTCTTGGCTATTATGAATAATAGTGCAGTGAACACAGAGGTACAGATACTCTCCAAGATAGTGACTTCATTTTCCTTGGATATATACTCAAAAGTGAGACTACTGGATCATATAATACTTCTATTTTTAATTTCTTAAGGAACCTCCATATTGTTTTCCATAGTGACTATATATCAATTTACATTCCCACCAACAGTGGGAATATTTTGTGTATATATGCAATGGAATATTATACATCCCTA